GGGGGTGGTCAAGTTTTACGGGTAGTAACAACATTCTCTCCAGATGGCAGGGGTAAGTCTGCCTGTCCTCCGTTGCTGATACCACATAAGGGACATATTAGTAAAGTAGGGAAAGGGTTATATGTGTGGCTGGCCTGTTCTTGAGAGAGAAAGGTGGGATAGTATCTGCTGTGTGCCTGTCTCAGACCAAACCTGGGGCTGAACCAGTGCCCCTTTCTTCTGAGCCCTCCTCCACAACCTGACTGTACTGCCAGCCGCACCCATGGGAAGGAGGTGTGAAGGAAGCCTGAGAACATCCGCCTCGAGAAAAGGAAACAGGAAAACTATTTCCTTCCGCCTTCTCTGGACCAAATTCCACTCCCCTCAGCTCCAGAGAGCGCTGCAAAAATCTTCCTTAGGAACGCTGTGAAGACACGGGGAAGAGGCCAGCCCAGACAGGTAGTCCTGAGCGGGCAAGAAGAAAAGCTTGAACTTTCCATGCAGTACCAAGCAAGATTGTTTTGGAAACACGCAAACAAAAAATGGAAACCAACACCATATACCCACAGGTTGGGTAGCTCCCAAATCCTGGACAGCATTTGGATTGGAGGTAAGGACAATTTTACTCCAGCTCCTTGTTTTATAACCCACACCAGGTGCCAAGAGGTTTAAGGACCAAAACTGACCTCTCTTTCCCTACAAGCACCATTCCTTGGATTCCCAGTTTTGTTGAGCTCATTTGGGGTCATCCTTGCCATGCTCTTCAAAAATGACGCAGCCTCTTGGTGGTTCCATTTTCTATCCCTTTCTACAATTATGAACACACTGTCTAAACAGGAGATCTATATATGCTGTCACCCTGCAGCCCAAGAGATTAGGTGATCTAATGATGAGAAGGCCAACTTACTTACTTTCCTGGGTGGTCCTGATGGAAATGAACAGCAGCAGAGTTCTGGTGGGACAGAGCAGTCTAGTCTGAGCCACTGTGTGATTCCCCAGGGGAGTGGTCCCTGGGTACATGGGTCCCTGGCTCTGTCTCAGTTCCAGAGACATTACTCAACTTGGCCTTTTAAGCCTCAGCTAAAACATATGAGCATGAGGGAAAAGGGACAAGAAATACTTTTGTCCTCTGGAAAAACGTAAACTCAATACATTCTGGCTACTTAGGCTCAAGCCACAGGGTTCCCTGGAAACACTTGTTGAACCTGGCCAAGAGGAGACTGTATATAGATGGCACACCTGGAAAAGGGGAGAAAGCACACTAGTTCATCTCTTTTGTAAGTGGAATGGTCCCAGGGATGTTAACCTTTCTGATGCTGATGGTAGATGAGTGGAGTGGAGGTAATCCTGTGAGAAAACTCCTTAAAAACCCTTAAGCTGTGTGGAGACTACACATCACAGCTGAGCAAACCAAGGTGGGGCCTCACTGCCACCTCAGAGCCCATCCCTGACCATGTCATTGGATAGGATGGAAGACAAAGTCTTTGAAATGGAGGCTGGGCTGGCAAAAGTAAGTATGAAGATGCTACTACTGTCCTTCCACTTCCTCTCTCTGATACACCTAAGAAGGTGAGAGACACTTACTTCAATTCCATTTTACAACAGTTCTCAACATCCTGAAATACTCTTGATTTCCTTAATTAAGCACAGGGAAAACTGGTAAGCTATCTTTCTAACTGAAATTTTACTTATTCTAACCACCAACCTTTTCTTTGATTATCAACCAGTTTGATAGTCTTCAGATCATAAAACAATAGAACAGACCTGACATTTACAAAACTGTACTACTTACTTCTTTTACAGTAGAGTTGACCAATCACTTTTCTAACTATTTTTTTTTTTTTTTTTTTGAGACGGAGTCTCGCTCTGTCGCCCAGGCTGGAGTGCAGTGGCGCGATCTCGGCTCACTGCAAGCTCCGCCTCCCCGGGTTCACGCCATTCTCCTGCCTCGAGCTCCTGAGTAGCTGGGACTACAGGGCGGCCCGGCCACCGCGCCCGGTGCTAATTTTTTTGTATTTTAGTAGAACGGGTTTCCACCGTGGTGGGTTCTCGATCTTCTGACCTTGTGATCCGCCCGGCCTCGGCTCCCAAGAAGTGCTGGGATTACAGGCGGTGAGCCACAGCGGCCCGCCTCACTTTTTCTACCTATTTAATGCAACACCATGCCACTGGGCCCTAGACTCTGATGTTTCTGATCCCTGAGCAACACATCTATGTCCATTCACAGATGGAAGTGAAAGGGTGAGATTCTCAGAGTCTAAACAAAATTCTGGTAGCAAATTGGATTTCTGAAGGGAGAGTCCTCTTAGAAAATTCTGAGCAAAAATGCTCTCAGTCACCAGGGACGGGGTGAGCGGGCAGGTTTCAGTCTGTGAGCTATAGCTTAGGTACCTGTTACTCCCTTCTGAACTCCATGTTCTTGGGAGGACATAAGCCTCTTGTTCATTAAGCAAAGGCCCTCCAAGTCTCCTTTTTACTTCAGCACTTTGGAAACTCTCCAAGACTTAACTTCAAATCTGGGGAAGTTCTATGTAGAACAGACCTATCCCTTCTTATTCCTGCTCCTGGGTGTCTCCATAATCAGCCTCTACCTTCCCTGGCATAAGTCGTATCTGTTATGCTGCAGGAACTGAGTAACCAAAGCTAGATATCCTTTGGACCACTGATTAGTGACACATTTTCTCCACAACAAAGGGAGGTTAAAGACCAAGGTTTAACCTGAGAAACTTTTTTTTTTGGCAAGACAATAAAGAGGTTAAAGAGGCTATGTGGATCTGTCACTGCTTTAGCTTACCATTTTCAATTTAGCACCAAAGTGCTCAGGAAGACCGGCTCAGATCAGGACGACTTCTTAAAAGGGATTCACAGGCAATCTTACTGGCAAAATGATTTTCCAAAACTGAGCCACTTGCCCCACCCTACAGGGAGGGGAGTAGAGTCTTAAGGCCCAGCATTGGCATTGAGGCATCTTGCTTTTTTCCCTCAGAATTCCACAAAGGCTTAAGAGTGATCTAAATGCCTGGCTGGAAGCTCAAGTCTAGGAGAGCTAATTTACTGCACTGTTGAGATATTCTCTGCAAGATAGTCACAGATAATAAGCAATTTAGTAGATAATTAATCCAGACAAGAATTAATGTTCTCTGAATCAGTGATTAATATAATCTTCACATCTGGCCTGGCTGGGAGGCTTGGGGGCAGGAAAGGGAGGGTGGAAGAATGGGTAGCACATCAAAGTGGTGATGAACAAAATGACAATGCTGCTGTTTGTGTATCCTTTAAAGCCTCTATCCAGGGTTTTAAATGGCGCTTTTTTTGTCTGCTTCCTGATAGGAAGTCAAATAAGTTTTAGTAGTAAGAACTGGGGATAAAAACGAAAGGAAACCTAGAGTTATTAAACAACTGACTGCTGGAGGAACAGAAGCAATGACTTCTTTCTACCTCCTAGGTAGTAATCTTACTTTTTTGGCTAAAAGCACTTTCTTCAGCATTCTGAGTTAACATGGGTTCCCTATAAGCTCCCCTCCCCAGGTGGACAGTCTTATTTTCTAAGACAAGCTCAAACTCACCAAATTATCACCGTAAATAAAGCTTCAGGGAAGAGACATAACTCTTACTTTAAAAGCTTCAGGTCAGAGACAGCCAAAATCACATGACTGCTAGCCTCAGCTCAAGTAGTGTGCCCAAATCATCACAAAATGGGATTCTCTTCCTATTAATTTTTTTTTTTTTTTTTTTTTTTTTTTGAGACAGAGTCTTGCTCTGTCGCCTAGGCTGGAGTGCAGTGGCGGGATCTCGGCTCACTGCAACATCTGCCTCCCAGGTTCAAGCGATTCTCCTGCCTCAGCCTCCCGAGTAGCTGGGACTATAGGAGTGTGTCACCACGCCTGGCTAATTTTGCTATTTTTAGTAGAGACGGGGTTTCACCATACTGGTCAGGCTGGTCTTGAACTCCTGACCTCGTGATCCACCTGCCTTGGCCTCCCAAAGTGCTGGGATTACAGGCGTGAACCACCGTGCCCAGTCCTCCATTTATTAATTTATAAGGGGACTAGGAGGACAAACTATTTGATTAATTTGAAGGTGAGAGGTATCATTTTCTCAGATGCTCCAACTAGGCTTCTCACATCCCTCAAAGGTTATCAGACAAGAGTTTCTGAGGCTAATGCAAAAACATGGTCAGATGTGAAACCACCCTTTTAGAGGCAGGGTTTGTGAAAGGCTGCTGGCCTCCAAAGGACAGCATGCCTAAACTCTCTGGGCTCCCAGGACCTGTGGTGATCTCAAGTCAACCTGATGCACAGATAACAGTATCTTTTAGGGATTGCAGCCAATGCTCCCCAATTCACTTTTTTTTTTGTTTTAATACCTTAAAATATCAAGTGTTTCATTTTTAGGTGATATTCCAAGTGACACAGAAACACAGCTCTCCTGGATGGTGAAGTCTCCGCTGCAAAACTCACCAAACAGCACAGAGGATGACTCTGGGGTCCTCTCCCACTTGCTCCCAGTTAGGTGGGTGCCCTGATGAAGGCAAGGCTGAGTCACTAACATGCACAGCTCCACATCCTGGAAGCCTCTGGAGCCTCGAGGAGACAGGCTCTATCCAACAGGACTCCGAATAAATGCCTGCCACCTCAACTGGGCAGTCTGACCTCTTCCACCGTCTTTAAGAAACAGAAGGGCCATCTGCATTATTTAATCACCGTTCAATAATGTCCTCCCTCCCCATAGCTGCTTGAGTTAACTGTCTCACAAGTGTCCTATGTTTTGTAAAGATGAGGGTTATTTTCTGAAATGCAGATGAGACTAGGATAAAGCTGTATTATCAATTACAGCCAACTCTCATTTCTCTTAAAGCAAAAATTCATCCCACTGTGATTTCTCCAGGTATTTCCTTTAATTCTAAATCCACCCTTGATATTAGAGAATATTAAAATCACACAGTTGTGGCAAAAATCACAATGTGGCTATTAAATCCTTTTTGTGAACTAAAAAATGTGCACGTGGCTTAGGCTCAGCTGTTTTTTTTTTTTTAAAGATGAGGATGGGGACTCCAACAAAGGCATTAAGAAAGTACTAGATGAAATGAGAAATAGGTGAAGGATAACGTGAAACGTACACTCAGGTCTAACAAGTACCTATTACTTCTCTGGTTAAGAAGGTTTAGCAGGAGCCCCCAATGAGCACTGTATGTAAAGAAAAGGGAAGGAGCAGGGGGAGGAACGGATTGGCACAGAATTTTTTTCTTCTTTTAAAAACCACAGAGGGTGACTTTTTTCTTCTAAGCAAGCAAGCCTGAGAGACAATACATGGGCTGGCTCCTAATATCAAAACAAAATATTTCTTTGCCACAAAGGAACTTGACTATGTAGCAACACATTTACAAAACTACTGCAAAACACTCCCAGAGGGCAGTGACCTACTCTGTTCCCCAGAGGCTGCAAGAAGCAAGGCCTCAAGTGCCTCACGTTCCATGGGGCTGTGCAGCGCAATGCAGAAGGCGGAAATCCTGCTGTGACACCACCCTCGAGACCTTCTGCAGCCTGAGAGGCAGTGATACTCCCACACCCTTTGATCCTTCCAGATGGCTCAGCCTAGACCTAGCAGTGAGAGAGCCCTCTCCATGCAGGGCGGATGGAGTGGTGGACACTTGCAAAAACAAAACAGTCAATTCACTAACTGTTCCATCCTGTTATATGTGCAATGAGGAAAATTAAGATTCCTGTTTCATGGGCTGCACTGTTTCTGGAAGGCTACAGAAAATCTAACATGGTTGACACCTCCTGGTAGTCCTTCTGTACACACACACACACACACGTACACACACACACACACACACACACACACACACAGAAGAGAGGAGAAAATCCTGGTCCAAAAGACCACATGACCTTACTAGTGTTTCCCCAATGATTGTCATTTATAAACTAAAAATTTTTAAAAATCCACTGCTATCTTTTTCTGTCCTCAGTTTGGTAGACTTTAATGGATGCTCTAGCAATAACCAGAATCTAGGACATGCAAATTCACTGTGAGCAAGAGGCTAGGGATCTGCCCTAAACATAGGAATCTGTTTCTACCAAGTCTGAATGAGGTCAGCACTGGTAGAATTAATGACAAATCAATGTCAATGAAATATTCTGCAAACAGGGTAGTTTTTGTACTTTCTTTTGATTCTTTTCTTTGGGGAGATAAAGGTATTGCAACCATGGGTCTAACTAATGTATCACTAAAGGACTGTGATGATATTCTCAGTAAAGACGGCCATGGTGTTTACAGTGCCAGGGAGGGAAAATCCCAGATCATCAGAATCCCAGTGCAACAGAAAACAGCACCAGTTTCAACAATTCTGATGTTGGACAAAGCCTCTTTTTGTCAGTTAAGAAAGCATAAGCACAGTGTCTCAGTTAATTGCATTAACAGGAATCCATTCATGTCACTGAAAAATACTTGTTGGCACAGTTCACTTTCCTGACCCAAAGACACCAACAACAATCAAAACTGCCCTTTCAGGGTAGTATATTATTACACTAGCCCAGTCAAAACACACTCAGACCATTAACAAATGTATACATTACTGTTAGCACTGCAGGTCTGTTTTATTTTCTAATTTATTTATTGAGACAGAGTCTCGATCTGTCACCTAGGCTGGAGTGCAGTGGCGTGATCTTGACTCACTGCAACCTCCGCCTCCCAGGAAGGTTTAAGTGATTCTCATGCCTCAGCCTCCCAAGTAGCTGGGATTACAGGCGTGCACCATCACGTCCAGCTAATTTTTGTATTTGAGTAGAGACAGGGTTTTGCCATGTTGGCCAGGCTGGTCTCAAACTCCTGTCCTCAAGTGACCCACCTGCCTTGGCCTCCCAAAGTGCTGGGATTACAGGTGTGAACCACTATGCCCGGCCCTGCAGTTCCTTTTTCTAAAGAGTATTGACTGTTTTCCTGCAAAGGACTTTTACATCCATACCATAAAGGTAGTATTTATCTGGAAGAATGTGTTTCTTGAATTCCACTTAGTACTTGGTTAAATCTACTTTATTTTGCTCTTTATTTGAACAGAACTTTAGAATGCTCTAGGTCAGGATAAGAAACAGTGTGTTCGTTTTTAAGAAGGATATGTGAATAGGAAGTTGGCATTCAGACTCAAGTTCCACAGCGTTGTTCTTCTCCAATGGGACCTCTCCTTGGGGATATAATTCCTTTCCCAGAGGTATCATGGTATCCCAAGAATACAACTGCTCTTTGGCTCTGTGTTTCAAGATTGGGAGAGAGGATGTAAACTAAGAGTACACAGCAATTTTTTTTTTTCTTTTTTGAGATGGAGTTTCACTCTTGTTGCCCAGGCAGGACGACAGTGGTGCAATCTCGGCTCACTGCAACCTCTGCCTCCCGGGTTCAAGCGATTATCTCACCTCAGTCTCACAAGTAGCTAGGATTGTAGGCACCCACCACGCCCAGTTAATTTTTGTATTTTTAGTAGAGACAGGGGTTTCACCATGTTGGCCAAGCTGGTCTCAAGCCTCTGACCTCAGATGATCCGCCTGCCTTGGCCTCCCAAAGTGCTGGGATTACAGGTGTGAGCCACCATGCCTGGTGAGTAGACAACAAAATTTAAAGTTCACCAACTGATGTTCCCAAAAGTGCTGAACACTAAATGACACAGGCCTATGAGGTACATACATTTCTTTTAGTAGGAGGGAAAAGTAAAAGTTTTTCAAAGTTTGAGTGCTTTATTAGAATTTTTAAATAAGGAGAACTACGATTTTAATTTCACATCTTGGCTAAGGAGATGACACTGGGGTACAGAGATAATCTCTTGTTCTAAGCCAGGGATCAGTCAGTGTACTCCTCCCTATCCCTCAATCTCAAGACCCTCTTACTTCCGAACTAAACAACACAATTGGCAAATGAAGCCAGCACGAAACCTGTATCAAAAAACAACAAGAGTCTGCCGTGAGCCAGTGTATTATGTAACCACTGTAATAAGTGATTACGTGGCTTCCCATATGGACCTTTCATATCCTGGTGGGAGACGGGAGACCAGTTTAATAGCTCTGAGCATGCTTCATGGTGCAATCACAAGTGCCGTGCCATTACAAAGACAAGCAAGCAGGTGAATTTCCCCAGTGTACTTTTCAGGAACACGGTTACCCAGTTCGGGGACGGGACTACATTGATGCACCTGCAAAGTACAGTTGGATGCTTCAGAGCACAAGGACAATATCCAGGTCAGCACGGTGTAAGGCATATACGGACACAAAGAGAGGTCGTTGTCGGTAATAAGTAGCATTACGGAAAAGATTCCAAACCAGCAGGACAGAAATGGTACCTGATGCTCCAGTTTTTTAGATAAGCAATCCCAAGAATCCAGTTCAAACCCTACTGTCAACACGTGGGGCAGAATTCAATTTCTATCATTGTTTTTACAGATCTGGGCTGAGACATTTGTTCCTAGCTTGGTTAAAAAAATAATAATAAAATAAAGGTTTCTTCCTGTTTCTTTCTTGGTATGGAAATACAGCTTAAAGAAGGAAAGGCCATGAGTCCTGGGAGCACTATGAAGGTAGCTAAACACTTCCCATACCTACAGTCAACGACTGGGAAATAGAGAGAGGACAGGGCAACCTGCCCAGCCACTAGCATCAAAAACGAAAAGGTATATTAATTGTGAGGCTCTCAATTCTAGAAATGCCCAAATTAAAAGAGAAAAAAATCTTGAAAAATTAAACAAATTTCTCTTTCTACAAGTCATTTATTTACATATTATATGTCCGATATATAATGTGTAGATAAATGTATCCTGCAGTGGAAGTGACCACTCTACTGAACTGTACAGCATATTATAGGACAAATTCTTGAAAGATTTCATCTTATACTGGTATCTTTTAATAAAAAAAAATTAAAAATCAAAGAAAACGTCTGGCCAGGGCTAGGATAAGACAAACAGGAACACTTCAGAATCCAAGGCAGGGGAAGACTGTTGGCCTCTCTTCAGAGGACTGCAGGGGTAGGAAGAGGGAGGGACAGATCATGCACAAAAGTACTTACAAATTACACACCCAACCCCCACCCCACAATAAAAAGAGAAGAAAAAGCCCCATCACTGAACACCAAACAGCAACATTATCAATACACCCTTTCTTTGCTGCCCACCATGCCTTATTTGAAAGAAGAGGCCTGTGAGGAGAAGTGGAAAGAGCCAGGGTGAGAGGGAAGATCTGCATTTCAGTCTAGTTTCCAATTTCCATTTCTCTTACAGGAAGTCTTCAGTCATCTGATGCCTGACATCGAGCTCTGAGCAGAAACCGAGTATGTGGTGGCCACGACTGGGGTGCCATTGTTGGCTGAGTAGCCTTGCCTCAATGTTTCAAAATATGATGCCTGCACGGGTTTGTGATACTGCAGCACTTTTACGGCATCTTCTATTTTAAACCATTCCCTCTTCCTTCCTGTGGAGGCAGAGAGAAAAGAAACTAGTACAAGAGCAATAAGGTTTCTGAGCCTAGAACTTTTGAGAAAATGTAGAAAACATTAAAGCAATGTTTCTTAATACTTTTTTTCCTTACAAAAGTAACTCAAGCGCACTTCGTATGCTTCAAATATTATACAAATGTCTAATGTAGAAAATAGGCGAGAAACCTGAAAACTGAAGAGCTAAGAGTAATTGTGTCAAACCTGCCCTCCAGAGAGAACTATGGCTAGTGTTTTCCTCCTGCCCTCCTGGGTCTCTGAGCTTTCCTTGCTTGCACATACATAGGGATCAAAGCCCAGCAGCATCCCTATCTCTTGTAAAAAACTGACATGAGGGCCTGACGAGGTGGCTCATGCCTATAATCCCAGCACTTTGGGAGGCTAAGGTGGGCGGATCGCTTGAGCCCAGGAGTTTGAGACCAGCCTGAGCAACATGGCAAACTTGTCTCTACAAAAAATACAAAAATTATCTGGGCATGGTGGCACAAGCCTGTAGTTCCAGCTACCCAGGAGGCTGAGGTGGGAGGATCACCCTAGCCCGGGAAGTTGAGGCTGCAGTGAGCTGTGATTGTGCCACTGCACTCCGGCAGGGTGACAGAGTGACACCCTGATCCAAGCAGGGGGAAAAAGAAAATCAACACAAACATCAGCTTCCAGAATTACTAGGATGGCTGGTTTGTAATCACTAATTTATTTAAAAGTTTTCTTATAAGAGTGAATGTATTGACATAATAGAAAAAAATTTTTTACAAATATATATATACACATATATATATATATAGAGAGAGAGAGATGGAGTCCTGCTCTGTCGCCCAGGCTGGAGTGCAGTGGCCTCCCGGGTTCATGTCATTCTCCTGCCTCAGCCTCCCAAGTAGCTGGGACTGCAGGCGCTCGTCACCACTCCTGGCTAATTTTTTGTATTTTTAGTAGAAATGGGGTTTCACCATGTTAGCCAGGATGGTCTCGATCTCCTGACCTCGTCATTTGTCCACCTTGGCCTCCCAAAGTGCTGGGATTATAGGCGTGAGCCACCACCCCCAGCCAGAAAATATTTTTTAAAATAAGAAAAAACAATCTCAATACAATCACACTTTTATTTTTCAGTTTATTTTCTTACTCTTTTCTAGTCCACACTTTAAAATCCTTTATATTTTTTCTCTTATAAAAGTAATAAGTACCCATAATTTTGTAAACCAGAGAAGACCACTCTCAATACCCTAGCACAATTGCCTTTTTTGCATATACTTGAAAAAGAAACAATCTTGAGATAACTAAAATTGGATCATGCTTTCAGGTGCTCTGAATCCTGACCAGCTCTGCTAGAGTGTTACGGTCAGGAACAAGGACTCTGAAGCCAAAGTGCTGGGCTCCAATCACATAAATGGCTCCAATGAGCTGTGCAGCCTCAGATAGCTGTGCTCCTGCTCCATTTTCCTCATCTATAAAACAGACAATAAATAGGGCCTATCTCACAAGTTTGTTGTGACGATTAGTATGCAAAGCACCTGAAGAGTACCTGGCTGCTAAAAGTATGTACTACTGAATTTTCTTTTTAATTTTTGTTACTGGTTCTTTTTTTCTTCACATTATTTTTTCTTTTCTTTTTTCTTTTTTTTCCCCCAGAGATAGGATCTCAGGCTGGATTGCAGTGGTATGATCATAGTTCACTGCAAACTCAAGCTCCCAGACATGAGGAATCTTCCTGCCCCAGCCTTCCAAGTAGCTAGGACTACAGGCACACGCCACACCTGCTTCTTTTTTTTTTTTTTTTGGTGTAAATGAGGTCTCAAATTCCTGGCCTCAAGTGATCCTCCTGCCTTAGCCTCCCAAAGTACTTGGAATTACAGGCATGAGCCACCACGCCTATCCTACGTCACACTATTTCTTAAGCAATCTATGTTATGAAAAAAATATGACATTCCCATTGCTAGGAAGGTTAAGGCAGGAGGACTGCTTGAGCCCAGGAGTTTGAGGCTGCAGTGAGCTGTGATCCACTGTACTCCAGTCTGGAAAACAGAGTGAGACCCTGTCTTTTTTTGGTCAGACATTTATGGCTGCGTTATATCTTAATATCTAGCATGGATGTACTATCATTCATTTAACCATTTCCACATCACTGGACATCAATTGTCTGTGATTATTATTATTTTTGAGACAGAGTCTCAGTCTGTCACCCAGGCTGGAGTGCAGCAATGTGATCCTGGCTCACTGCAACCTCTGCCTCCCAGGCCCAAGCGATTCTCATGCCTCAGCCTCCCAAGTGGCTGGGATTACAGGCACCCACAACCACGCCCAGCTAATTTTTGTTTGTTTATTTATTGAGACAGAGTCTCACTCTATCATGTAGGCTGGAGTGCAGTGGCATTAGCTCATTGCAATCTCTGCCTCCCGGGTTCAAGCAATTCTCCTGCCTCAGTCCCCAGGTAGCTGGGACTACAGGTGTACACAACCACGACCAGCTAATTTTTGTATTTTTAGTAGAGATGGGGTTTCAGTATGTTGGCCAGGCTGGTCTCGAACTCCTGACCTTAAGTGATTTGCCTGCCTCAGCCTTCCAAAGTGCTGGGATTACAGGCATGAGCCACCATACCCAGTGATTTTAATTATTATAAATAATCCTATTTTTAAAAAATGTTCCCCATTTTTTCTTTCTTTTTAACCATCTAGGGAAAGATATCTAGCACAAGGACTACAAAAATAGAGCTTTTGAACTTTCAAGGGCTCCTGATTTATACTGCAAAAGTGCTTTACAGAAAGGCGACACTGATCCCGAGTCCTGCTTGTGTCTGTCAGGATGTCAGTCTCACTACATCCCTGCCAATATTAGCTTTTCTTTAACATTGACTTTTTTTTTTTTTTTTTTAAAAGAAAATGACTCCTTTGGGAGAAAGGTGGTGTACCTAAAAGAGTGCACTCGCACCCTTTATAAAAGTTCATAAGGCGGGCCGGTGGCTCACGCTGTAATCCCAGCACTTTGGGAGGTGGAGGGTGGGATCACCTGAGGTTGGGATTCGAGACCGGCCTGCCCAACACGGAGAAAGCCCATCTCCACTAAATACAAAATTGGCCGGGTGTGGTGGCACATGCCTATAATCCCAGCTACTCGGGAGGCTGAGGCAGGAGAATCGCTGAACCTGGGAGGCGGAGGTTGCGGTGAGCCGTGATCGTGCCATTGCCTCCAGCCTGGGCAAACAAGGTGAAACTCCTCCCTAAAAAA